TGATGATTCATGTGTCCTATAAATTTGGAAACTGGGAGTTCTCAGAAGCATATTGTTTCAGGGTTGCGACCTGTTTGAGGTGAGTATTTTATTTAAACTCAGTGGAGGCACTAGTTACGTTAAATATTTATCATAGCTATGCGCTATGAGTTTGCATATAGGTAAGGTTTGAGCCCATGTGCGGGCATCGAGGCAAGTATTCATACTCGAAAGAATGCTTAGGCTATGATATGCCTAGAGTTGACTGTTAAGCATAAAGTTATAACGTTTCTCGTATTCGTACCTTTGTGGAGAACTATCTGGGCTATACTTAAAGAGGCTAATTCCCTGAGAAAGCTTGGTAGTTACTATTTCTGCGTTAACTTGCCGGTTTGAGTTGTGATAGCTGACTTTGCACATACCTACACTATGGCGAGTTATTTATACCAGTCCAGGAGCATGAGAATCTTATTTCATTATCACATACATGTGTACTTGTTTAATTGCTCTTGTATGATATGCTGGGACTGGAGGCCTGTGACCATGTCGTGCAGTTGATGTTAAAGTGAGCTCTAGAAGTGCTGGTTACCGTTGTTAGATTCATGGGTCTTGGTCTACTATATATGATGAGCTTATAGCATTGCAGTTGTGGTGGTGCTTGTTGAACTTGCAATACAGTTCTCTTCTCTGAGACATTTTCCATTTCTGGGTACCTGGATTTCGTAGTTGTGGCTTAAGTTATATTGGTGTGGCGTGTCTGTGGGATAGTTGTGTTTAATAATATGTGGTCATTGGACCTAGAATGGGTACTATCAGGTTTGATTACAATATATTTGGGAGGATGACATTGAGAGTCGGCTTAGAAAGTGATTATGGTTCTGGTTGGGGCGAGAGAGCTCCATGACTTGTTGATCTGATAAGGGGTTATGAGATTCCGTGTGTTTCTTTAATTATTAGCAGTGTACGAAGGTTTTGGAATGAGGTTTGGCTTGATATGGGGTTTAATAGTAGTACCAGGTTAGTTTGGAGTAGTTACTGTGATCAGGAATGGTGTTGCGAGCATGCGAGTTGTGTAGTATGTTATGTGATTATATCTGGGGTTATGGTTATGGCTTGATACAGCTTGTTTAGACTCATACAGTGTGTAGATGTAAGATTCGTGTCTTGTAAAGAAATTTTGAATGTTGGAAATTGAATTCCAATGTTTATGGACTAAGGTTAAATTAATGACTTTCAATTATGTTGTGTTGTCAGGACTATTTGGAATAGGGTGTAGTGGGATCACCCCCGGGTACGTGCGTGGTAAGATGGAATAGTGATTTGATGGCTTGGAAACAACCCTTGGCACGTTTGAGGACGAGCGTATATTTAAGTGGGGGAGAATGTAACGATCCGACCGGTCGTTTTGAGTATTAAATCCCCGTTCCCCCATTTACTGCTCAATTTATGCTTTACAATTGTTGTATGACTTGCTGGGGTAATTGGTTCAGGTCCGGTGAGGTTTTGAAATGAATTGAGACACTTAGTCTCCAAGATGAAACTTAAGTTAAAAAGATTGACTAGATGTTAACTTATGTGTAAACGACCCAGGAATAGAGTTTTGATGATTCCAATAGGTCCGTATGGTGATTTTGGACTTAGGAGCGTGCCTAGAAAATTATTTGGAAGTCCTTAGTTAAATTAGGCTTGATATGGCTAAAATAGAAATTTAAGCTTGAAAGTTTGATCGGGGAGTTGACCTTTTTATATAGGGGTTGGAATCCGATTCTGGAAATTTGAATAGGTCTGTTGTGTCGTTTATGACTTGTGTGCAAAATTTGAGGTCAATCGGACTTGATTTGATATGTTTCGGCATCGAATGTAGAAGTTGAAAATTCTTAGTTTCATTAAGCTTGAATTGCGGTATGATTCATGGTTTTAGCGTTGTTTAATGTGATTTGAGGCCTTGACTAAGTTTGTATAATATTGTAGGACTTGTTGGTATATTTGGTTAAGGTCCTGGGGGTCTCGGGTGAGTTTCGGATGATTAACGGATCAAATTCGGACTTAAGGAAATGCTGGAATTTTTCTGTTGCTGGTGTCTTCGCACCTGCGCATGAGAGACTGCAGGTGCGAGCTCGCAGAAGCGAGCATGGTTGCGCAGACGCGGACTTGGCTTGACAAGGGCAAGGGTCGCATGTGCGCACGCAGGACCGTAGAAGCGGACTCGCACCTGCGACAAGTTGATCGCAGAAGCGGAAGTGAGAGAGGAGGGGCCTCATCGCAGAAGCGGCTTGGGTTCCACAAATGCGAGGTAGCAGAAGAAGACCTCTTGTCCGTAGAAGTGAAATAAGCCGCAGAAGCGGCAACTTTGACTCAGAAGCGGGAACCGCAGAAGCGGCCTAGTGAGTCGCAGATGCGAAAACCCCTGGACAAAATAAAATCTGAGGGGTTGCAGGATTTTGGCATTTTTGGACATTTCCAACACGAGGAGGCAATTTTCAGAGAGAATTCACGGGAAAACTTGTGGTAAGTCACTTAAGACCATTGTTAGTCAATAATATTGGATTATCATTGAGTATTCGACTAGATTACGTGTTTTTGAGGTGAAATTAGAGGATTTGGGCCTAGGGATTTGAAAGTGAGATTTGGGGATTTTAAGGTCGAGTTGTTGTCGGAATTTGGTAAATTTGGTATGGTTGGACTCGTGGTTGAATGTGAGTTCATATTTTGTAAGTTTTGTCGGGTTCCGAGATGTGGGTCCCACTGGCAAATTTTGAGTATAATTTTGGGTTTTGTGGGAAAAATTAGTATTTTGATATGGAATTAATTCCTAAAAGTTATGTGGACTAAATCAAATTAATTGTGCCTAGATTCGAGCTGTTCAGAAGTCGATACGTGCAGAATAAAATTTCTGGAGCATTGTTTAGCTTGCTCGACATTGGATTCGGCTTGTTCGAGGTAAGTAACTCTTCTAATCTTGAAGCTGAGGGTATGAACCTTGACTATATGTGTTATGTGTTTGGTGTTGAGGTGACGCACATACTAGGTGATGGGCGTGCACAGTGTGAACTGTGACTCCGTTATTTCTGTAGTGCTATGTAGTTACCTGGACTTATCTGTGATCATGAAATCTCTACGTAGTAGAGTTATCGAGCTGTGATTCATGTTAGAAACCATGACTAGGCTACATGCTTATTCTATTGGGACCCACTGAGGTCATTACTGGTGTTGAGTTATTTGATTACATTGCAATGTCATACTCAGTCATATTCATTCATTGCATATCATATCTCAGTCTCTGTTATAATTTATTGATACATCATATCATCATTTTGGGCTAGTTCATGTCATTGTGAGCCCGAGAGACTGGAGAGGTTGATGACTGAGTGAGGCCGATGGCCTGATTTTGAGATATTGATACTATAGCACGTGAATTGTCCGTGCGGACTTTAGCGCTTGGGCTGAAGGAGCCCCTCCGGAGTCTGCACATACCCCCAGTGAGCGCGATTGATTATATTAAGGGATGGATCTTCCCTGGACATAGATCTTGTCCGAAACATTTATACCTAGGGATGGATCTTCCCCCCAGGCTGGATTGGCCCTACTCGGTACTGAGTAACTGATGGTCAGTTGATGTATATATTCTGGGATGGATCTTCCCTGGGCCGGATTGGCCATATACAGTACCGAGTGATTGAGCATGATGAGTGGAAAGTGTGAGACAGTGAGATTGAGTACTCTGAGAGTGTGAGTACATTAGTTCATCTCTGAGATACATTGCATTGACATGTACACATGACAAAGAGGCATAGAGGTGTATTTTTTTCTCATGCTGTACGATATCACGTCATTCATGACTTCTCACACATGTTGACATTTGGGAATAGAGATGTATTTTACACTTGCTAGCTGGAAATAAAAATGGAACATCTTATATATGGTTGAAAGGATTTTAGGGAAAAATTACTGTTTTCAAACTTACTCATATTTTTGGCAACTTCGGTAAATGACTTGGGTTTTCACTGATATACTTGAAAGGCAGAACTATTTTTCAGAAATCATGATTAAGCTGAGCATTCTATCTCTGAGTTACTTCTTTTATTCATTGCTTTATGTTGTTATGGACTGTTATTGTCTATTGGTGTTGGACCCGACCTTTGTTCCAGCTCGTCACTACTTTCAACCTAAGGTTAGATTTGTTACTTATTGAGTACATGGGGTCGGTTGTACTCATACTACACTTCTGTGCGTTGCATGCAAATATTGGTTGCTGATGTTGCTATGATCGACGGGAGATGGAATTGAAGACGTACCCGCGTTTCGGTGGTATCTGCCTCTTGTTCATGGTAGCCTTAGATTCATAAAAATCTGTTTATGTACATTTCGAAGAGATGATGTGTTTATTTCATACAAGCTTTGTAAATTCTAATCTTAGAAGCTCATGATTTGTACTAGCAGTCCTTGGGGAATGTATACGATTTAGATATTTCTTTTACTTAATTGTCTTGTTAAATTTCATTGGAATTGGATAGTTGATAACTGGCTTACCTAGCGGGTTAAGTTAGGCGCCATCACAACTTGTTGGATTTTGGGTCGTGACAGGTTGATGGTCCTCTGATGAAGAAAACTCCAGAAGAGATTTTCACACTTCTAAATGAACTATTTGAAGACGCAAAACAATGGTCCACTGACCAAGGGGATCGAAGAAGTTCAGCGGGGGTTTACCAAGTAGAATCGTCTGTAGCAATGCAGGCCTAAATTGCAGCTATGGCTAAGGACATCAAGTAACTGACGATAGCTCAGGTGCAAAATTAACCATATGTGGGATGTGACATCTATAGATTAGGACACCCAACTCATGAGTGCCAAACCTTCACCGCAGAAGAAGAAGTTAAGTTATTGGGGAATTTCAATAGAGGCAACTACCAAGGCGATGGTAATTTTAATTCTATGGGACAGAGACATTCGGGTTTCTCATGGAGTTATTCAAATGGTAGCTTGAACTCAAGGCAACAGCAAAATTCCATAGCACCAGTGCAATGACCTCCTGGCTTCCAGAACCAACAAAGGCAAAATACCAGCCTCCACAACCCAACAACTCAATTTTAGAAGATCTAATGAAGGCATTCATAAATAAATCAGATGAAAAATTTGAGACTCAAGGGACCACTATTAGGGAGCAAGGCACAACCATCCGAAATCTAGAAAGACAAATGGGGCAGCTCGTATCATTGTTATCAGAAAGGGCTCCGGGAACTTTTCCAGCAGACACTAAGAAGAATCCAAAAGAGACGATCAAGGCTGTGTCTCTCAGGAGTGGGAAAACATTAGAAGAGCCCATTGCAAAACCAAGGGTTAGAAGGAGATCAACTCAACCAAGATAGCAGAAGAACAAAAAATTGGTGAATCTCTACCTAAGGAGGATATTAGCAGCAAGGAGGTTGATAAGCAGAAATTAAGCAGCGCAGTTGAGGAAAGCAAGCACATGCCAGTGTTACCCTTTTCTCAAAAGATGTAGCAAGAGAAACTAGATAAATGCTTTGGGAAATTCTTGGAGATGCTGAAACAGTTGTATGTGAACATCCCGTTCACCGAGGTGCTCACCCAGATGCCAGCCTATGCAAAATTCTTGAAAGAAATCCTTTCAAGTAGAAGGAAGCTTGAGGAAACGAAAGTGGTCAAACTCAATGCCCACTGCAGTGCTATTCTACAAAATAAAATTCCTCAAAAGTGTGGGGATCCTGGCAGTTTCCCTATACCCTACTCATTGGGGAGCAAAAATTTTGACAAGGCCTTGTGCGATTCAGGTGCATCTATTAACTTGATGCCATTATCGGTGTTCAAGAAATTGGAAGGAGAACTAGGAGTGATCAAATCTGTATCGGTATCTTTACAACTAGCTTATCAGACCACGATCATACCAGAGGGCATAATTGAGGACATTCTGGTGAGGGTGGACAAATTTGTCTTCCCAGTAGACTTCATCGTAGTAGACATGGAAGTGAATAAGGAGGTACCTCTAATCCTGGGGATACCATTCCTTTACACTAGCCGGGCTATTCTTGATATATATGAAGGGCAACTCATGCTACGAGTGGAAAACAAAAAAATGGTATTTCAAATGAAGAGAATGATGAAATACCTATGTGATGAGGCATTTGCCTATGCTTGTCTCAAACTAGATATGGTGGGAGAGTTAGCTGAACAATACAAGCTGGATAAGCTAGTAGGTGATTCATTAGAGAGATGCATTAGTCAATCAAGCACAACAGATGATGAAGATCCTGAGATCAAAAAGGAAGTTGAGGCACTGGAAGATGAGAACCAGGTGGTAGATAAAGAAGAATTCGAGAAAGAAAAGATCAAGCCGAAGCTGCAATTGAAAGTACTCCTGACATATTTGAAATATGCTTTTTTGGAGACTAACGATTTTTCCGTGATTATTGCTGCTAATTTGACAGGTGAACAGGAACACATGCTTGTGGAGTTACTACGGAAGCATAAAAAGGCAATCGGTTGTGTCACACCTCCTATTTCCCCACGCAGCCCTATTACGAGGTTGAGTTAGAAGAGTTTTTTTTGATTGAAGTGACATTTTGAAAAAAGATTATTTATTATTTGGAGTCGCCACTTGAAATAGAGTTTTGGTGTTCAAAGTCGCCTTTTATCTTGTACCTTATCAAAAGGAAGGTTTGACTAATAATTTATGGTCTACGAAAATAGAAGACTGAGTAAGGAATTCTGTTGACCGCAGGGAAGGTGTAAGGCACCCCTCGAGTCCCGTGATTTTAGCACGGTCGCTTTATTGACTAATGTAAGTGTTAAATCTGTTTTTTGCTATTCTTGTATTTTATTAGTTATGGTTTGCCTATTACTACTTAAATATTTTTTTTTGTACTTTTTAATTATTTTGACTTAGATGCGGTATGCACACAAAGTACTTCTTTGAAGTTGGATGTTAAACCAAAGGTACGCGAATGTACACATGGTCAAAACATAATTATTTAAAGGTATCAAGACACGGGAATGCACACATGGTCCTTTTATTACTTAAGCATATCAATCCAAGATTCTGGTACGAACACATGAGTTAATATTTAAAGTACATCTAAAGTTTTCTAGCGTATTTAGAGTATTCCATTTATTTATTTATTTTAGATCCAAAACATTTATTTATACTAATATTTTACTTATTACAATGAGTCTTGAATTAATTCCTAACTCATCTCGCTTCCTCACAATTTCTTTTACCACGCTTTGTTTTTCTTGCAACGGTTTTGACAAACACGGCATAAACCAAACAAAAAGGATTTCCACGGCAAAACAGTGAGCATTCTTCATTCTTGCATTTTAGGATTCAAAATCCGAATTAAGTACTTACATTCTTAAAATAAAGTTAACAGAAAACAAAAATATTTCACCATACAAAGTAACAAAATTTTCTAACACAGAAAACCGAGCAAAACAGTAAAAAGAATGAAACTTTAAAATCTTTCAATATTAAAAAACAACTCCAAGCAAGTTACATATATAACATAAAAAACGGACACAACTTATGGACTATATATCTTAAGCACATAATCTTTCCTCGGCGCATAATCTTTCTTTCCCCCCTTTTTTAAAAAAAAAATAATATATTCCTACTAAATTAACACTTGAAAGTTTTCAGTTTTCATGGCTAAGTAGTTAACAATTGTAAACGTATATTCAGGTAAGAAAAAAAATATCTTTATATAAAAGCAACTTACTACAATCTTATAAAGAAAAAATTTATTATATTTCATGGCCTATTCACAAGAATGATTAGAAAAAGTTAACCCATTTATGACTTAGGAATAATATAGCATAATTTTATCCAAACTTAACTGGCCAAGGAAACTAGGCCCAAAACTTTCATATATATCTTCATCACCATTTTTAACCTTAATGCCACATGATTTTTTTTTTATTTTTTTATTTTTAGAAATCTTTCACTAAACAAACTCAAAGATAGTAACGATAACTCAAAGACACATGCTCAGAAAGAAAATCAGTAGATTAAGGCAAAAAAAAAAAAAAAACTAATAAAGGGAACCAATCATCATGTTCTGAATTTATGTAAGAAATATAAGAAACAAAAATGAAGGACGATAGAATTGGGACCTTAGTAAAAGAGCTCCAGTAATACAAGAAAGAAAATTCGCTACAGCTCAAATCCAATATCGCTAAATGTGACCGTACAAAGTAACCGCAACCTCGAACCAAAAGTCACGAACGAAGAACTCCTTTTCTTAATCTCACCAGAATTTTTTTTTCTAAAATAATATTTTCTCTTTCTTTTGAAAAGTCTTTTCTTTCCTCTTTTTCAACGTTATTTTCCTTCTGTTTCCTCTAAGTTTCGTTGCCTTTTAAAAAATCTCTCCCCCTACTAATCTAAAATGTATGACTTATATAGAGAATGTGTAACAGTGTGTGTGTTGATGGAGAAGAAGAGTGAGAACGTGGGGGGGATTGTGAGGTGTGTGCTGTGAGTAGGGAGAGGGGACGTGAGGGACCGTGGGGATTAGGGAAAGGAGCAGATCATGGGGAAAGAAATTCTTAGGGGGTTAGGGCTGTAGGTTTAGCTAGGATCTTTTTTTATTTTATGTTATTTTATTTACTTCTAAAAAATAAAGTAAGATACATAATAAAAATTTGAACCCACTTCTTTTAGACTAAGAAAATATATTTGAAAAAAAACTAAATATTTACATATAATTTAAATACTACTAAGAAAAGATACCATAGCTTACTTATTTGAATTCAAATTAAAAAAATCAAATATTTTTTATAAATTTTCTTTTCTCTTATAAATAGAAATAAACTTATACCCTAAGAATGTGAATATTTTTTGTAGTTTTTAATATATTTGTTTTTCAAATAAAACCTATTAAGAGTAAGATAAAAATTTAAAATATTAATATTAGACCTAAAAAAATATTTACACTAAAATAGTATCGAATTTGGGTGTTGTCACGGCCCAAAATCCCACCACAGGCGTCGTGATGGTACCTAGTCTCTAAGACTAGGTAAGCCGATTTTCATTACATTTCGAGGCCATTTTTTTTGAATATGAATTAAATAGGTAATCAAAACCAACAGCGGAACAAATATGAATATAACAACCTCCCAAGACTGGTAGTTCTAAATCACGAACTCTAACTGAATACATGGAATTATCTCGAGGAGCGAATATACAGTACTGATCGAATAAGAAATTAACAGTACAATAAAATGGAAAGACTCCAAGGAACTGCGATGACCAAGCAGTCCTACCTTGAATCCTTGCGATCATACTCTAATCTCTGTCTGAATCCGATATCTTCAATACCTGGCTCTGCAAAAAAATGTGCAGAAGTGTAGTATGAGTACATCACGGTCGGTACTCAGTAAGTATCAAGACTAACCTCAGTGGAGTAGTGACGAGGTACAGTCAAGACACTCACTAGTCAAATAATCTTTGCAATATAGCATACAAAAATAATAGAAAATAAATAGCAGCGATAGCAACACCAATCAACTAGTGATTTAAACATCAAAGCAACAGGAACACCATTAATATTACTCAAACGAATAATAAACACAGGTACAACCAATTAATCAAGTCCCNAATTGGTGCGGTAATACCCTTCGTGCATTTATATCTTTCTTACCGTGCATATATATAACAGTACCAACTGGGTGGGAGAAATGCCAATAACAATAAAAGAAATAAAATGGAGGCACATAGGAAGCAACAACGACTACAAGTCACATAGAAAATATAGGTGCACAATAATATCTCTAGATAAAGGTATGAATGTATACACAACATAACGATATCACAATATAATGTATGTCTCTCGTCCTCGCCTGCACGGAAACACCCTTCGTGCCATGAATATATGATAATATCAAAATAATTGCACGGCATCACCCTTCGTGCTTTTTCTCTCATCCTCACCTGATAATATAAATTAAATGGCACGACATCACCCTTCATGCTTTTACTCTCATCCTCACCTGATAATATAAATGAAATGGCACAGCATCACCCTTCGTGCTTTACACTCTCAATGGAGCGACATCACCCTTCGTGCTTTACACTCTCGAATGGCACGGCATCACCCTTCGTGCTTTACACTCTTCCTTACCAAGCACATGCATATCATTAACAAGCAAGGTAGGAAGCATAATTAACATCAAGAGGAGTGTTTAAACCACAACACAATACAACAATTCATATCACAATTTGTCACTAACCACAACCAAATTCCAAATATATAACAGAATTAATAAATTTCTCAACAAATAGCCCAAGGCTCCACACAACGTATATAAAACCTCAAAACAATCAACAGAGGTAAAAACTACTCAGTATAGGGCAACGCCTTCATTAATCCAAATTCTTAATAATTATATTAACTCCTCAATTTAAACTTATTTAATAAATATTTATAGATAATGATTCCATCATGAATTTAATTCCAAGAAAAATATTAAATCAACAAACACACGGAATTCACAAAAAATTCAAGTAACAATAACACTAAATTATTATAAAAAATACAAATTTGACAAATAAGAAATGAGGCGTGATAATTCAAGGATTTACTAATGCCAACAATTATCCAATTTAATACATAAAAATGCCTAAAACTTTAAACCAATAAAATTTGCACATATAAGTCCGAGTACGTACTCGTCACCTCGCGTACACGGCTTCCAATCATATAATTTGCACATAAAACTCAATGCCTAAGGGGTAATTCCCCCACTCGAGGTTAGGCAAGATACTTACCTTTTTGAAGTTATGCTGATATTCCAAAATCGCCTTTTTGCTTGAATTGAGCTCCGGACAGCTCAAATCTATCCAAATTAATTGTACCACTTCATTAAAATTCATCGAAAATAATTTCGGATAATTAAATACCAACTTAAAATTTTATTCTAAAAAGTCAGCGTGGGGCCTGCCCCTCGGAACCCGACAAAATATTTTCGAAATCCGAACACCCATTCCGATACGAGTTCAACCATACCAAAATTATCAAATTCCGATAACGGATCGCCCTTCAAATCTTAAATTAAAGTCTAGAGGATTTCTACCATTTTCAACCCAATTCACTAATTTAGTGATAAAAACAACAATAGATTCATGTAATTTAACCAAAATCAAGTTAGGAATTCTTACCCCAATGTTTTCCTTGAAAAACTCTCGAAAAATCGCCTCACCCGAGCTTCCTTGGTCCAAAAATGGAAGAATGAGACAAGTTTGGACTTTATTCTGCTGCCCAGGGATTTGTTCTTCGCGTTCGCGACCCTTCCTTCGCATTCGCGATAAACAAATTCTCCAACAACCATTTTCAAACTCTTCTCAGACAACCTCTAGTATAATGGTCATAACCTTTTGTACAAAAATCCAAATGACAAATGGGTTAACTTTCTGAAAACTAGCCTCAAAGAGCTATAACGTTCATATGTTGCTCATCTCCTCATTCCTTATAGATTGCGAGATATAAGCTTCCAAAGTCAGCCCTATACAATAGAGATTTCCAAACTCTTCCCAGACAG